TTCCCACCACTTTTTTATTTTGCAATGCTCTATTTATAGAAAATTTATGAGGGTGTTTTAATCATTTTTATTAGTTAACATTATTCATTATTATGTTAAAAATCACGATTAAGTTTAGATTTTCAATGTCCGAGTCTATCTGAGACCCTTGATTATGCCTTTGACTGAGGCCCCTAGTCATGTTTCTCACTTAGTTAAAGGACACTCCTTTGTTCTCGGTGAGCATCGCCGATCGAGGCGATCTTTTGATCAAGCATGCCTTGACAACCGAGACATAAATGTTGAATCTAAAACATGGGCTCGCAATGGAATCCATCATTGTTGTGAACGTAACATTTAGGTTGACCATAATGATTTATGTACGTAAAAGAATGTTGAGATTAAAATCATATTTTTAGTAAATTTGATAAAAAGTAATGAAAGATGTGGTTGAAAAGTTGTGGGAATCATAAAATATGTCGTTAAAATTAATTGTTAAATTTGATTTAAATTAAAATTTTAATTTTAATCAATGCCAAACAGGAGCTAAGTCTTACAAAATGTGTGGATAAAAAAATATGTTCGACCAATTTAAATTATAATTTTAAGCTTTGCCAAACGTGCAATGTGGATAAAAATCGTCGTCATCCCCATCGTATCGTCAATTTCTGGAATGCTTATCCTTGGCTTCTTCTTACCGTCCATCAAGAAGAGTGGAGGAAAAAGAGATGCGCAAACTTCACCACCCATTAAATTAAGTTTTTAGTTTTACATTGCTAAATATTTCAAATTGTTTATTACCTGTTGAATTTCTTAAAATTGGATATTGTGAGAAGTGAAGACGAAAATGACTTGAGGAGAAATTAAAATTTTGTAAAGAGAAACTCTATTATTTAAGTAATTTTACTTAGGGTTATTTATGGAAATAAGAAAATTACTTAAAATTGTGGTGAACTTAGCAAAATTCGTAGTGATAATATAATTATCCTATTTAAAAAGAAAAGATTGAGGGGAAACTTTTTAATACCAATTTAACGCACATATATTTAGTTATAGGCCCGATATACTCTCACTGATCAATTGTACATTATATTATATAATATAACAGTAAAAAAGAAATACAAAGATCAGATAATAAACCCAAATAATTTGTTGATTATCCTATAAAATCCTAGAAACCAAACTGAAGAAATCCACCATTTGACTCCGACGATGAAGGCGCGCTCGCCGTCATCTTCATTTGCACTGCTAGAATCGTAGATCCTCCATTTCACGCCGACGATGAAATAACCAAACCTAGGTCCACCGTCGACCAAGGACGCGCACCTAGAAATTAATTAAGTAATTATTGGTATTTAATAATAATAATAATAATAATAATAACAACAACGGTCACAGTTGGAAGTATTTTTTGCTCGAAAATTGGTCGAGAAAAACTAAAGAGAAGCAAAATTTTCTACTTCAAGTAGCAATTTTGAATTAGAGAGTTGTT